TTGGATGTGAGTGTAAAATCTTTTTATAATTCAAGAATCAACGCACCTTTATCAACACGAAGCTCAGCCACCGCCCGAGTTTGAATAGTTCTCGTCTGTTCATCCTCAACATGCCCTTCGACTCGCTTTATCACAATCCGCTCTCCAATCGTCCGAGAAAAACAACCCCGATATCCCAAAGCATAAAAGTCGAAAGCCTTCAAATACTGCCGTTTCAAAGTTGGTGAAACCTTGCCTTCAATGTTCGTGACGTCCATTGGAGCTACTTCAGTTTGTTGGTCCATTGAACACGTTCGTAGAGAGGTTGGAAGCAAGGAATCACTGCAAGATTTATTTATCAGGAAATATCTGCATGGCAATTTTTTCGATCGAGCAGAATGACGAGAGCAGTACTTGGAAAATTACAGAGACCGGTTCGGAATCATATACCCGGAGATGTCTTGGCATCGCTGATTATTCTCCAGTTCGCGTCTGTCCTCCTCAAGACTCTGAACCAAGAAAAAAGGTAATACATGCACCCATTTAACTGTTCTGTGTAACTCATTTCTAAAGAAGCTAGGTTATCGAGTTGATGTTTCAAAGTTGAAAGTTTCATACCAGCTCCGACCGGAAGGGTCCCGACTGTATTTCAAAGCAGTTTAAATCCACTAGGAACCAATTTATTAATCTGGTAAATCAAGCAAAGCTGAGATTATACAGTGATTAACATGGAGCAACTGGGAGAAGAAATCGATTGGTACGTACCTAACGTGCTGAAATAGGCTCCTGTCCTACCCGCAAGGTCTATTCTGTTGCCAGTGGCGGCGATTACGAGTCCACGCGCTGAAGTTAGGTGAATACCATTAACGAGATTTTCCAGTTTCAAATTTCCTTAAGTAAAGGAAAGGGCAAGTATGACAGTAACACATTGTGAGCGTGAGTTTGTGGACTAGATGTTTGGTTTGTTTGGACTTGTTGCAACAGGTCATTGCGCGTCAGCAGCGTGTGAGTGTTAACTCTGCTCTTCGACTATGTAATGTACTCCTATTGAGTCGTGATAGCTGATCTGTTCCGACCTAGCCAAGGGACTAAATATTAACAATGCGCAATACTGGTGAAAAATGACCAGAACAGTAACACATAATGCTATAACATAAAAACAGACGTGTAAGCATGATTCCTACGAGTCATCAAGACCACGTCATGCAATGAGGAACCATCCAATAAGAGACGGCGACCGACCACAGCCGAAACACTAGCGCCAGGATTATACCATTTAAAGTAAAACATGATCGCGGATACTTAGGGGATTTACTTAGGGCTCAGAAAAGGACATTCATTTCGGCCCCATAACACCCTTCTCCTTCTCCAGCTCGTTAAAACTCGCTTACTAAGGAGGCAGATACAGCTAACCGATGCTATGTCTTCACTGTCTTGGAAATACACATTGGCATGATCTCTGATCTCCTCTTTCCAGAAGTTCGTTCTTCCCTGGGATCCGAGTCATACTGGTTCCTCAAATACGATGGTCGTCCATGCGCAGTTCTTCTCTCGTTGATCTGATGGATATATCTTATCAGCGAAGAAATTTGATGTGAACGATTGTGACTCGGCTCATCCTCGCACAGGTCCTCAAGTCCTCAGGGGGAAACTCTGTTCTTTCATGAACAGCACATATTTCCCCTTCCGCTGAGTCGGCTCCTGTCCTGTTGAGCCCACCGGCACATGTACAACAAACGCAGCGCTCCATTCTAAACTTTGGTCAGTATCATACCTCTCTCCAATCGTTTTTCACTTCAATGCATTCTTGCGCGAACTTGGACTCAGAGTAGAAACATATGGGTGCAAACAAACAATCGACTCTTTCTACTTGCATGTCTACGAAATACTTCGAGAAGGGGCTAGATTTGAGGGAATAAGGGAATTAGTCATAGGAAATCAGACCATGTTTCGAAAATAGAAATCCAGAGACAATTCGGGCGTTCATTCAACTTAACGCTCCCATTAACCGAGAAGAGAATCAGCTCGGCGAAAAATACCGATTCTCGGTCAATGAGCAAAGCCATATACTAATGTAATTGTTCTCCGGATATTACACACCAATGATGTGACCGGATCAGATACATCTGCCTGGTAAGTTTGTGGATAGTCCCATTTCCAGAACACCTGGCTTGTGAGGGAATATCAGAAAGGAAAGAGCGATGTAGCCAGAAATGATGATTTAATACGTGGAACTTGAGCTGCGTGTAAGCTGCTGCGGCAGGCTCACGACGCATCGATCACATATTGTCAACGTGCGAAGGCACGTGGCACGCACGGAGCATAAAAGACTAAAACACCGCTTCGTTGTACCTTAGACTGTATCTGTGCAACGAAGTTAACGTCACCCTGTCTGTTATCGGAATAGTGAGGCTGGAAAACCCCAGCCTTTCACTGCTTGTTATCAGAAAGCCTTAAAATCGAGTGACTACCAAATCCATTACCAGTATCAGTTCAAGATTGACGTTTATGTTTTCGGCACCATCAACAATATAATTCTCTTGAAATTTTCGCCTTCCTGGACACACATTTCAGCCAACATTTGCATAAAAATAGAATGCGCTGCCAGTGGTGGATTGGAGTAAATATGCCGAAGTGTATTAATATCTGTCGAGAAAGCACCAGTCACAGCCGCTAGTGATGCTCGGAGACAGACGATTGCAGGAGTTTGTGGACGCTCCGGAGATAATGGCATTTGAGCAAGCGTCAACGATAGAAAGAGTGATGGTTATACTTACCTAGTCTCATGATACAGCATAATGGTCTCATGGAAGACGTGCTCTAGCGCGACTGGCAGGATCAGTCTATGAGTGACCTAGGGTGCTCGGAGCAATTATGTAGCGGCGTGAGGCTTCATAATTCTTCACGCAGAGCCGGGATGTTTAGTAATCCAACCCTATTTATTTGGCGATATCTCTATCATTCTGTATTTGGGGGGTAGACAATTGTCTGGATCAATATTTCCTGTTGAACTTTCCTCCAATGTTTCTAGTAGATGTTTACTATTAGTTATTCATTGTTTATCATGTTATGTTGCCGTCGTCTACTGACTAGTGAGCACTGGAATATTGAAGAATATATTTAGAATGAAATTAGTGCACTGGCGTGAGCATGTATTCACATGCATGATTCAAGATTGACACTGCCCACCTATATTTACCCTCATGGCACGAAATTTTTCACTGATATGCTAACTAAGTTAGAGGATAGTTGGATAAGCTTGATAAGTTATTTTCAATTCATCAGAAAGTAATGCATTAAGAACGCTAATAGTAATCAGTGCAAATTCACACGAGCAGCTTATTTAAAGCTGAGGCTCGCGTTCCCTCTCCTGGCTTTAAACCCATCGTTTCATCCATTTCTCTCTTTATCTAAGTCACCTACATGGATGATATTCCAAAGACTAGGGGTTTTCCCTAATACTGACTCACGTCGTGTCCATCCCACCCTTAATCCAAAGGGTCGTCTTCAGGCCGACACTGTGCCTCCGTCTTGGAAGCCCTTCGTCCAGCTCTCTCGGATCAACATGCCATCAGGTGCCTTTCTCACGTTTTGGCCGTGCGGTATGTTTTTTTGGATGATTAGTATTTGACTCGATCTGTAACTAATGTTCCTTACCAGCTTGGGGTCTTCTTGCCTCCGCATATCGAGCTGAAATACCACTACTCACAACTTTGTACCAACTTCCTGCCTTCTTCGTAGGAAGCGTGGTTCTTCGAAGCATCGCTTGTAGTTGGAACTACGTATGCGACAAAGATTTCGATGTTCAGGTCAGTAAGAAAGAAGACGTCAATATTAATGAATGATTTTATCAGAGCGCACCGAACATCGTCCACTGGCCGCCGGTAGAGTCTCTGTAAAGGCGACGTTGATATTCACAATCGTCCAAGCTGCGACGTTCGTGGCCATTGTCAGCAATCTTAATACTCTGTCGTGAGTTAACACTATCCTCTTTGTTGATCGGCTAATTGGAAAAAAATTAGATTCTAAGCCTCGATACTTGGCCTTGTTTTTTGGCAGCCTGTATATCCGCTATTTAAAAGAATCATGTATTGGCCGCAGGTGTGGTTGCGTAAGTATTTTCTCCTGCATCCCCATATTACATTTATTCTTTAATGTAGCCACTGATGAATTGGGGTATCATCATTGGCTGGACTGAAAACGTTGGGAAGGAAGGCCTTGAGGCTGTTACAGTACTTTTCTTGGTAAGCTCCTGGTAACTTCGTTCTTTTATGTCGATAAACAAAGTGTATTAAAATCATTAATTAGCTGGACCATCTATTATGATACAATATACGCCACCATTGATGTTAAAGACGACCTGCGTATCGGTCTGAAGTCAACTGCAGTCCTATTTGGCTCTTGGATTCGGCCCATCCTTAGATTGTTATGCATCGGATTTATTGCACTCTTGATCGCCACCGGAATATTGAACGAGCAGAGTTTTGGTTATTACGGTATCTCCGTCCTTCCTACAACTCTTCTTTTGTTCTGGGAGATCATGACTTGGGATCAGAGTAATCCTCAGAGCGCGTTCATCAGATTTGATCAGAATGGCAGATATGTCGGGATAATCGTTGCCTGTGGTTTGGCAATCGATTATGTCTTGAAGCTTCAGACATAGTCTATTGTACACGATATGCCATATAAACGTAGAAAAATGAAGATCATGCTCAACATGTTATGTCAAAATGATTATTCCAATGCCCGTGTGACATGTTCGCGACTTCTATTCATTTAAGCTGTAAATTGGGACCTTTCAGCTATACTTCGCTTTTGCTCCATGTATCAGCTACATTCACTACAGCTCGGAAACAAATACTTGAGAATTGAGAATTTTCTTTTGCAGATGATGGATCCATTGGGGATAATAAAAGAACAGGGTGTATTGACATTGCCTAGACTTCATGCTTTGAGGCCAGATGGGAACGGCTCAAGGACCATGAGTATGTTGCGAATATTCAGTGTCGGTAAAAAGAAATCTGCCCCAGAGAGGCTTGAACTCTCGACCTTCCGATCGCCTCGTTAAACGATAACAGTCGGACGCTATAGCCAACTAAGCCATGGGGCAGATAACGTGCTTCCGAAGGTCGAGCATTCATGATTTCAGAGGTACAGTATAGAAACAGCCAAAAGGACATGCAAGGCTCCAATTCGGATCCGATTTGAAGAACAATTCGCCGCTGAACACGCTCAGGACGGATATAGAGACTCCGGGTTGCAAGGTCGTTGACAATGGCTGTGGAGACCATCGTTCTATCCGACGGCGATATGGTCGGTGGTGGAGTGGTAGAGTGGATAGAGTCAGATAGAGTCAGCGGTACCATAAGCTGCTGGGATTGAAACGAAAGGTTTGTGGACGAGATTTTAGACAGTCACATCGCTAGACCTGTCACGAAAGGTACCGAGCCAAGACATCGAGTATAAGCTAACCATAGTGTTACTGAAGGATATCCACTGGTATACTTGGGGAAATACAGCGATGCCAACGTAGAATGAGAAGAAGTAGCTGATAAGATTAGACGCCGTAGCGTTCAAGGTATCTGGAGGATTTTGAGCTCTACGTCTTCATCCTAGCGCATAAAGTAAGTCTATATCGATCACAAGGTGTTTAAACATACCTGGTCGTTTACTGGACTGGTGAGAAGTGTCCAGGTTCTGCCCATCCGAAATACTACCCGCTATTCTGCCTAACTGAATGCTTGCCGATATGAAAATACGGTCTGGCTTATCGAGTCTAAAGGTGCTACATGGGACAGAGAATCTCCAGCGGGGATTGCTGGAACGACAAGACGTAATTCCTGGGAGGTTGGGTCAAGTCCAAAGGCAGGTGGATATGGGTAGACCACGGCGCTGAACCTTGAGCGCATCTGCGTTTAAGGCAGTTAAAAACTGTGTAGTCGAACCTGCTGCAAACAACTTGTGCTCCAAACATCCTGTTGAAGGAGAATGAGTGTGTCGATATGGGTGTCTGCTATAGTCATCAACATTCATCGTACGCACCCTGAAGTCGTTAGAATCGAGCATGCATAACCGTTCATCGAGCAAAATACTTCCTATATCGTCATTGCCATGTCATAATGCTGCATAAAACGTGAAGAAAAGGATGACATTGACGACAAATTGCATGTTCGTGACTGCGGGTACTAGGGGATGTTAGTGAGACGACGACAATGATAATGACGAGATTGAAAGTACCGTGGAGTAGCCTAGTATACTGCCGAAGTCCTTCAGTACAGCGTGATCAACGCTTTCCCTAGAGAATTGGCACAGGCTCAGGAAGGAGTTGTAACTCCGCACGCGGGTTCGGCATCCGCCGTTCATACGCCAACCACTTAACCGAATTCCTATTACACCAGTTCTGTGTTACTGACTTAGACCTTAGGTCAATTTGATATAATCTAATTGGTTATATAAAGATATATTAGGTTAAATAAAAATGATAATATTATTATCATAGTCGATAAATTAAACAACCTTGAACAAACCTACTTATATTGTAATTATGGAAATACATATAGTCATCTGTAAATCAAATACCCATATCTTTTGTCCTCCATTTCCGCAGTCAGTTTTCTTCATTAATGCGGAAATTTGATTTGTTTCGCGCTTCATTCCTCCACATGTCCAATAGTGGTATGATTTAAATGAACACTTATAGTAATCCGAACATCCGCCCTTCTTATCCGCCGCTGAGAACTTTAGCATCCCACCGCGCGTGCAATATACGCATATTAAGTCTGTGGAATGTGCCTGAAGAAACTTGAGTGTCTTTTTCTTTTTCTGCCATTGAACTTTGATGGAAATTATATCGTGGTATTCAATTATACGATTTGGTAGCGGTCTTATTTGTTATATAGTATCAATAATATCTGTTCTCGCTAGATAATTGCCTACATTGCCCTATGCTCTCCCTTTTTTATTATTCCGGCGAAGCCGAGGATTTGCTTCCGGGCAGAGGAGCGAATTGTTTTGGACATTGCTTATATCACCAGCGATAAGGGGATCAGATGAATACAAACTCAACTATAACACTTGCTCTAACTCGACGCCACGCTTGTCTGATAATTCTTCCATAGTTTATTGATGGCTTTTGCATGCCTTGGAGATCGTGGAGTGATGGAGTAATCAAATGGCTCGGGTTCACTAAATCCAGACCGTCAATGCTATTTCGTACCTCATATGAAATACATACCTGTTCATACCAGTCGTCATTGCAAACTCTTGCACTGGGATCACATTTCCATCTTGATCAGTTGCATGCTTGATATCAAAGGCCCATAGCATTTGAACGATCGCTATCCATACAATTCTGGCACCCATGTGCATTGCTGGACAAATCCTAAGACTCGAATGATTAGACATCGCCTGAACTGAGAATCAGATACAAAACAACTTGCGAATCTTACCTGCGTCCGAAGCCAAATGAATAATGTCCTTCCACCAGAACATCCGTCTCGGCACCCGGAGGAAGTTCTGCCTGGAAATATCTTTCCGGGCAAAACTTCTTAGCATCTTTGTATACTCTCTCATCCTGATGTATTGCCCATATGTTTCCTATGACAGCCGTTCCTGCCCGAATAGTATAACCTTTATATATGTCTTCTTTATCACAAAGGTGAGGGAATGCTAATGGAGCAGGAGGAGTCCAGCTAGATAAAACCATGAATCGCAATATTACATCAAGGTCTTAAATGAATTTACATACCGAAATACTTCCTTGCATAACGCAACACAATATGGCAGCTGTCGAATATGCTCAAAAGTAGGAGGTCCTTCTTCGCCCTCTAGTGCTCCGTCTATCTCAGCTTGCGCATTTCTCATTGCTTTAGGGTAGAGAATCATAGCCGTGATGAAAAATAGGATTGCTCCCGCAGCAGAGGCTGTTCCAGCCTGTAATCCAGATCCAGCCACATAAGCCATCGATTCCTCGTCGAGCTCATTCTTATCTTGGTTCTCCCAAAGACGTGCCGCGAAGCATTCGAGAGGTGCGCCACCTTTATCCATACGCCTCTTCACATCTCGGAGTAATTTAAGGAAGAACTAACATATATTCAGCTAACGGTTAGAAAACCCCGATTTTAATCTGACCTTGCTTTCTCTTTCATGCTTCGCATTAGCGTCCGCCTTCCAAGGCTTTAACCAATCTGGTATAAATTTGCTGTCAAGGATAGGGAAAGTGTCAACTAAATGACGACCAGGTTGGACGCTATGATTGAAATTTGCCAAGACAGCTAGATTTTCTTTGAGATCGGAGTCATCTTCAGAAAGAAAGCGACCATATGCCAGGTGGAATGAGAGTGATGCCGTGAAACGTTTCACATTGAGAATGATATCATGGGGACGATTAAGGATTTGGAATAATAGCCTAGAACATTCGATGTATTGCATCCCTTCGTAACCACTGACAACTAGAACAAAACAGTCAAAGTTTGACCTGAATAGCTAGACAACAACTCACCGTCACCTCTAGGATGCATCATTTGATGGAATGCTTGTCGCTGTCTCTTAAGAGTAGGGCCGTACGGTAGAAGCACCATACGCTAACGAAATGATTTTAATGGTACGACAGGAAAGCTTCTTAAATAAACAAACCTTGTTGCGTGATAAATACTTCCCAGCAAAAATCAAAGGCTTTCGAGACGAATAGTTAGCCGCCCTCTTGAACAACTAGATTTACGAGACCGTCAAGGAGATATTTAACAATATGACACAAAACTCTCACTAATTCTTCCACATCCTCAGCGTCGTTTAACACCACAATATCATTTCCGGGGAATACAAGTTTCACTATTGGCCCTAATACAGAGTTAATTAGTGTGAACGCAACTTTCCATAGTAGGATTTTCTATACTAGTTTGAGAAAACACCTACCGTATTTTTCTCCCAGTTCTTGAAAGTACGTCCACTGGGCTTTTGTTTTCGGGATATGGAAGGCATTGCCAACAACCCAGGCAGGCCTCGGTCCAGGAGGATATTTCCCCTTGAGGAACAAGGATAGAATTAACTCTCGAAAGAGGAAAATCAATACGACCGCCACTTCAGCCCATTGGAGAGTTCTGGATCCCAAGTAGTTTACAAGATATGAGGGGAGAAGGAAAACCAGCATGTCAAGGACTTCGAGAGAAGGGAGGACAAACTGGAATTGTGGCTGAGAAATTCGGATGTTTTAAAAGCTCGGACAAACCGCGGTGATAGTATTCGAGGGCCCATTCAAGACGTCGCTGGTATTAAGAATCAGAGAACCACACGAAGGGATGATACCCATGTGGCATTGGAATCCTCGAGCTAAATGCGTCCCCACTTGCCTTAAAGCCGATTTCCCCCGGGAAATCATCGCGTTCGTTCTGTCCGACAGTCATTGGATTATGAATCTCGATGGACGCCACTCCAGTCCGAACTTAGATCCCTGAACTGAGGTGCCAATGAAATTCGTATATTTTATTTTAGATAGATGTTCAGTTATTTTGAGGAGATACACGAATTGAGACTATGCAGTTGGACCATATCAATTCTGATGGCCTAATATCGAAGCCTCGAGTTGTAAGGGGTATCACTAGATCCTTTGCAACACTATGATATGATATTAGTATGTAGGACATTTGTATTGGGGGTTAGTGTATTTAAACCCAGGTACTTTCCTGGTCACCCTTGACTTATTCCCTTATGTATATAATTAAGGCGCTCCATTATTATAATACCAATCTTCTAAGTAGACTCGCTGCTGCCTTTCGATTGCATCTTCCCAAGATCATAAGAAAAAGAAGTATTCTATCAGACGTCGTTCGGTAGGTTTGATTTAGTGAAGCATTTTTAGAACAACACTAGCCTTTCTTGATACACGTGGAATTTGAAGGACGTCACGTCGGCTGAGTGTTGTAGGACGCAGCCGGGCGGCATTACACACAACGACATGGCACACTCCTCTTTTAGTGATTAATGTCTCAGTACCGGCGCAGTTAACCTTTCCAAGGAGTAGTATTACATACTAACGACGTAACAAATCACTGACGGATTCTCATTTACCGGTGGCCAGCAAATTCTAGCTTCAAGTACCATGGGTCCATCAGA